GGGCGGGGGTGGTAAATGCAGTATGTATAGGATAAGGTTTGAGCACAAATAGACTTGTTTTTTTTGTGCATTTGATGCGCGTGAAGTCGGGAACTGCGAAATGCAAGCCTCTTTTGTCTGTTGCCCTTGTAGGGCAACGCCGCCTGTACAGCCGAGCATTTGCACTGTGTTTTTGGGGTTTGGGGTGTATGTTTGATATCTCCGCCCCCTTGATATCCATTTCATGCCAATCTGCTTCTTTTTATTTTTCGCTTTTGTCGTGGGGAGGAAACGATCCGCCTGCCCGCTCGAGCAGATGTTGTTGCTCTAGCCTTGGAGAACAGGTCTGCCTGATCTGAGATAGGGCGGGGGCGCGCGCACGTTTCCATACATTGCTGCGGGTGATGATATTGTAAGAGTCGAGGGTGGGATGTGTATGACTTCGGCGATGACAGATTTAGAACGTAGAATGTGGGAGGTTCGCCCGCCGTCGAATTTTGCGAGAAAATTGTCAACCTAGTGAACGTGTTGTCTACGGAGGATGTAAAATTTTCTCCTTGCCTAGGGGGAGAGGAGAGGAGAGGGGTGGGAGGCTCGCTTAACCAACCCAACGGTTTACGGTCTGCTTTTGTGTGTTGCGTGTGAGGGTCCTTCGTGTTCTTTTTTCCTTGCCGACGGGGGCACGCTGAGAGAGCAAGACCCGGAACCGCATTAGCTCATCTGCCCACACCCTTGGCGAGTGTGTTTTGTGTAGGTCGGGGGTTCGGGGGCTAGGCTAGTCCTTTCGGTTTCGCGCCGGTATTCGGCGATGCGTCTTGTGTAGTCGGTGAGAACTTGCGCGAAATTCGGCGGAAAGAGGGTTGTGTCGGGGGGGCACACGCGCTCTTTGTCCGCGTCGTTCTTCGGTGTAGATGTGTGTGGCGCGCAGGCAACAGATTTTAGTCGCGGGCGACAGCGAAAATGAAATGCTAGGGTGCCAAAGTTTTTGTGATGTTGATGCCTTGTCTTTGTCGTTGTCAGTTTTGTCATATGGTCGTTGTTGCTGTTGTTACTGTTTTTGGTGTCGTCGATGCTGCGTCTTTTTTGTGTGCGTGGTTTGATTGATTGCTCGCGAAGCGAGGTGACAACGCCGAGGTGTGGAGCGTTGTATGAGTTTTTTTGGGGGGGGGGTTGGCCCCGCTGCACACACAGCGCGTGGC